CAGGTTCATTTTTGATTAATATCGTGACGAAATCCAGTGAAAAAGAAGCCGGTATTGGTGCTAATGCTCTGTCCGGTTGCAATTCACCGTAGAAGAAGGTGACGCAGTAAAATGTTGCAATCGTCATTTCCGGTAAGTGCACAATGGCCGTGCTCGATTTGAGACCAGCTGAAATTAGCGTACTACGCAAGTAAGTATTGTGCATAGTGTACATAGAAGTGTACTAAGTATTCAAATTAAGACAGCACAGAAAATTCCTGGAGTCTCGACTGGTTGGAGCCAAGCTTTCTGTTTCCCTTTGTTGCTCTGTGCTAAGCTGAGTTAGCATGTTTAGAAAAAGTCCAACTTTTCCTTTAAGTAAAGTTTAAAGCAAGCAATCTCTATTTTCTCTCAGGATATAGAGGAAAAGCAGATAACATTTAAAATCCTCAATTAGCCAAGACAGCGTGTTTGCCAGATTCATTTATTATCTCTGTCTGAAACATACTGTGGCCCCGGGGCCGAGTGTGAGTCTGTGTGCACCGCTTTCTCAGACAGATTATCTACCTCAGCTCCCCTTTACCTCTCCCCGCTCTCTTTCCATCCCCTCACCCATTCAAACAGCTGCTTGGTGTGTTAGTCAGGTTCAAAGTCTCAACTCCATCTTTTTGCCAGAAGAAACTCTATACGTGCGCTAACTTTACAGAGTTGGGGGAATATCCTGGTGCTGATCCTTCCTGTACAGCCCCAAAAAGGTGACACATGCTGCCTCCAATACTGTATTTATGGGGCAGGGCGGTCGCACGGGCCCCTCCTCACTTCAGGCCCATTGTTGCGGAGTTTTGTGTTGGGAGACTTGTCACCATGTCGGCTACGCGTTGCCTCAGTGTTGAGTCTCAGGGTGCAGGGAGAGTACAAGAGGTTTTGGATAGACGTCCTCGGGGCTTCTCTTATTCACAGGGCTGACTGAGACATCTATCACACGGGTTCAAAGGGGCAAGGAGGATTTTCCTCTGTGGGGTCAGCTTACATTTGTAAAACACTGATGTGCCTGTAGTTGATAAAATTCTTTGTTACACAGGATCTTTAATTAAAATTTTATGTTAGGAAAACATTTTTGTGTAAGAGAGGGTATGCAATTAACTTTAAGCATACCAAGTTTTCCCAATAAAGTTTTAGTATGCATGTTAATAATCCATATCATAATTTATGTTAGAAAAATGTTTTTGCCATATAGAAATAAACATAAGCGAGCGTCTATATGTAGGCATGTTTATCTATAGCTTGAGGAGAGGGAGGGGTGGAGACTTGTAAAAAAGGGCGTAGGAAAAGCAGAGGAGAAACCTTCCATGAGAGATTAGTAGACCTCAGAACGCACAGATACAGCAGGCTGCTCCTCTGACTGCAAATAAACCTGACCTGATAAATGACATAACTTTCTCGACTGACACGGAATAAATGTTGTCTTTTCTGAGAGAGAAAAAAAAAGAGATAAAGATTATGAGGATCATTTCTGTGCCCTTCCACCAATGCCAGAAGCTCTCCATGTGATGCCTCACTTTTGCGCAACAGGTTCTGCGAGATACATTTAACAAATTATCAACTCCGATCCATGTAGGAAGAAGAAGCATGCTCTCCCCGTTTTGGCACTTTGGCATCGAGCAGGAGATCAACTCATGGGATGTAGTGGATGCAGAGTCAGGTTCAACTTTGGCAAGGTGCTGTCCAAAGTCCCAGTGTTTTTTACCATGGTCCTGATCTTCACCTACTTCTTCTACTGCCTCACCGGATTCTGCGATTCGGCTCCGAGAACTTTATACAGCCAGCGACCATTAGACTATGACATTTTGGACGATCGTCGTCGCATTTTGGACGACCTGCGACCATCGCCGCGTTTCCTCCCGGACGCGCCGTCTCAACGGAACAGCACAGCCTCCGCGGACGCAGAGCAGGTGGACGCGGCGGAGCAGCTGGACAGCGCAAAGGAGGGCGCCCAGAGCAACGGCATCCCCGTGTCCAACACTTTCGGCTCCAAAAGGTTTCCGCAGGCGATTATAATTGGCGTGAAGAAAGGAGGAACCCGCGCTCTGCTGGAGTTTCTGCGCATCCACCCGGACGTGAGAGCGGTCGGCGCGGAGCCTCACTTCTTCGACAGGTTTTATGATAAAGGACTGGAGTGGTACAGGTAGGGAAGAGCCAAACACACACAAATGCGCACCCAAGTTTAGGTTGTTTTGCACAGACTTTTTAAACCACTAATATGAGTCATATTATAGGTCCAACAGACTCCAACAGAGCCTAAATGTGAGCGTTATAAACACTATTACACTGACTATAAATTCACTATTGGATGGCACAAACATGCTTTAAGTCCCACTAGGACTATGCTAAGCGTTTTTTTATTTTATTATTAAACCTTTTTTTGAATTGCTTTTCAAATATTTCAGTATTTAAACATAGGCTACATTACACATATACTGTACAGATTATTAAAAAAAACAAAGAACATGCACATTTCTCTTGACAGTGTGTAACACAGGGCTGTGATACAATATTACACCTCAAGTTCAGAGAACAGGGATGGGACACATAAATATGACCATATGTCATGGTGATCATCTTTACTTATCACTTCCAGATAGGGACCTCAGATATTTCTAAAAAACATTTGACTGTGGATAAAGAATCTATCCTAGCCAGCTCATCTCCCTTTTCTTTAAAGTTGACATATGAGGTCTAGTTTCACCCAAGAATCTGCTTGTGAGGACAGCTTAGCCTCCACTGGTGAGCTGCATAGGACCCCCAGTGAACCACTCACTGAACTTCTATCATCTGTTGACATGACCAGATGTCATTACACATTCATACAGCATGTGGGCCAACGTGCCCCTTTCTTTGTTACATCTCCAACAGCTATCATCCTCACTAAGCCCCATCATAAAATTTGGTTGAATGTCCCGGGCTATGGAGTGCCATGACTGTACTGCATTCCTCCAGGCTTGAATATCTTTTTTTCCCACGTGAACTTAACACTCTCATAGTTTGGGGATTGATGATTTCTACACTCATTATAAAACCTGAATGTCTCTACCTCTAGGCAGTCCAGCTTAATCGCCATATCTCCAGAATCTTTCTATCTCCTGTTATTATATAACTCCAACTTTCAAAAATCTTTCCTAGTTATATTATATTTAGACAGCAGCTGTTCAAAACCCATTAACAATATCCCTGCTCTCACCCAATAATGCCCAATGATAGATTTTTAAATTAATTTTCAATTACTTATTATGCTAAATAATACAACAAGTTTTAAAACCTTTCCAATTAAGCTTCGGATGCCATCTCTGGATGATGTACTGCAGGAAGAGCAGCAGTGGTGTCCCTGTGCAGAAATGCTGATGTCTCCTTGTCAATAGACTGGACAGCCATACACTGTCAGATCACCATAAGCCAATATTCTCCCAACATGCTGCACTGTAGATCAAAAGGCTAGTGGGGTCCCTGAGGAGCACTTCATCATCTTGACAGTCATCTTAACACCATTTATACACTTCAACGTGACATTAACATTCCCACCTTGTTCTTAGTGATTACTCTAATACATTTTTCACGTATAAACCTGACTGATCCAATTAATTCATAATCTGCACATCACAATGATGCTGTTTTTGCAGTTCTATACATGGCGGCACATAAAATGTTCGTCGGCTACTGTCGCACTGACAGCAACTGATTTGAGGCTGACCAGAGCTATCATTTGGGTGTAGTTTAAGGCCCTAAAGAAGAGGGATTTAGTTCTGGATGAAGCTGAATCCTGATCATCTCCAGATGTTCCACAAAGCTCCTGGAGAAGGTCCCAGCTTAGCTCAAACCTCTCCCCAGTGTCAGAATACTATTTCGGACCTGTGTGAGCATTAAAGGTGCCATAAGGAGAGAGTCAGGTTTGACAGGATGATGAGCACTGAAAAACAAACGCTGATGTAGTTTAATCTTCTTGTGACTTTTTTTTTAAACCCCCCCATAGCTGTGTGACATATGGAAACACTTTCACCACTGATAATTTTAGCATGCTGCTAAGCTTCCTCTCTAGCTTCCTCATAACACACACATGCACCACATGCACATGCAGGTTTACACTTTGCTTCCTTTTCTACAACTCTTCTTTTACATGTCCCTCGTCCTCCGCTGTCTCTCTAGACCACATTTGTTCTTCCTCCCACAACCTTCTCTTGCTCTTTCTTCCCTCGTGTCTAGCTTCTAACTTCTCTGTATTCTTCCTTTAGTGTGGAGGATGTCTTTATGTGGAAATACCTGTGGCAGACCTGGTGTTTCCAGGCCATGTTTTATGTGTGTTTCTGTGTGTTTTAATTAGCCTGACTGGTGCTGTAAAGCTGTTAGGCTTTAATGCTGTAGTTTTGTTAGTGCTGTAACATGGCAGCGACACTAACATGGTCTGTGAAAGTTAGATTAGGCATACGTTAACTAATGATTAATAAATGTTTTCATTATGGATCAATCTGCTGATTATTATCTCAGTTAATATTGTTTTTAGATAAAAGACACATTTGTTTGAGCCAACCGTGAAGTATTCAAATTTCTTGTTTAGTTTGATTAACAGCATAAAATCTAAAGCTGTTCAGTTTACTATCATGTATCAAAAAAAGAAAAGCAACTAATCCTTAGATCTAAGAAGCTAGAACCAGACAATATTTGGCATATTTGGATTTAAAAGTGAATCCATGGAGTCCGCCATGTTGAACTGCCATGTTTGTACAGTAGCCCAGAACAAACAAACCAAACACTGGCTGTAGATTGATTTTTGTGTTTTGTGGTCAGCATAGTTTCTCCTACACACTAGCCCATTCTCGTTCCCAGGTTGTCAAATACAGACGTGAGCTGCAATCTGTGACTTCCTTAAAACATTGTTGACCTATGTCCTTTAACAAATTACTGCAGGACAGGTGATCCAGTTAAACCAGGTCTAAAAATACTGGTTCTGTTGATTTTTAACTTTTACATATTTCTACTTTGGATAGAAGTAGACATAGATGAAACTAGAGGTGGAGAAGAGTTAGAAGGATTATCAACAACAATAGAGACAGCAGCAACGTGATCGTGGGTGAAATCACTGAAAAATGACACCCCTGTTGTCACTGAATCTGAGAGAGAAATTGGGAGAAATCTGTTTGTTGTCATCTGCAGTGACCCACAGAGAAACCGCTGGATGTACTAGAGTGTGGTGTGTGTGCGTGTGTGTGTGCGTGTGTGTGTCAGTGACAGCAAGAAGTCATCCATGTGGAACAAGCAAGTCCTCCTCACATGACTGTCAGTGAACAGAGGTCAACTGTCACATCTGGAAACACACACACACACACTGTGTATGACAGGAGCTGAAAAGCAACCCTGTCATTTTATCTTGTGAGTAGTTTCTCACATCATCTTCAGCTCTTGGGTCAACAGGATCATGTTTCTGCGATTCATATGGATATAAATATTTCCATGGATCATTAATTTAATCTTAGTATATCACCAATTAATCTACATTGTATTATTACTTTATCGACTCTCCCTTCCAGACACTTATGACCTTTGCATGCTTATATTTCAGCCATAATCAATATAAAACATTTTCAAATGCCTAGTCAGAATCTCACAATAAGTAATAAAAACATAGCCTTTGCCAAAGACTCATGGTTTCATATTCTCATATCCGACAGCAATTTGTGCGTTGTGATACTCCGCCTGCTTCCACATGTCTTGGATAGAGAAATAAGCACGAACTGCAGGCGATTTTAGCAGATGGATGAGAGTCGTGTGTCATATATTTGCTGTCAGACATTGGCTATCTGCATGCTGGAGACACTTCATAGACAACGCATCAGTGCTCTCCCGAGCATGGTGCTCCAAGAGCATTGTCTTCTACGAGACAAACTCATTCATGTGTGTTTCCAATCACTTTTATCTTGAATGATCCAGTCTTGCTCTCTCTGTCTTTCCTCTCCACCCAGTCTGTCTCTCCATCCAAACCCCTTCTCTCGTTTGCATGTGTGCATATGAGCCCATTATGGGAATGGAAAAGCCACAAATAGTGCATTCAAAATGAGGCAAAGATTTAATGAATTTCTGTGTTGTTTTATGGCTTTAAGGGGACTTCATGGAGTGATGGGTTTCATATGAGACTTGAGAGCCACCGCAGAAAACTGAAAAACCTCAGCTTTCCATGGCACAATGGCTCTGATTGTCACGGTTTTGTCACCATGACGTGGGCTGGAATGAGCAACACACAAGTCTTTTATTTTGCATCTTCAGTTCCTTGATGACGTTAAAATGAGAAGATTTGCTGTTGTTGTCTTGTAGCAGGACAAGCAGTTGTTATTTTAAAATGAAGAGTGTGCTTGCACTAATCAGTTACACAGCTTTGAATCCAAGAGCCAGAGTAACATCCTAGAAACTGAATGACTTGTCCCCCTATATTTGATTTATGAAAAGATAATTTATGCATTTCTATTTGAGGAAAAACACCAGTCCACAAGTTCCATCAATATTTTGAAAGCTTGTCAATTAGCTGACCTACAGTCTTGACACTAAAGGCCATGCCAGATCGGATTGCTATTAAAATATATTATAAATCCTTTAAGGGCAGCAGCACAAGGGCAATAAGTAAACAGCGCAAATAAGGGGTAAAAAATAATGGTAAAAAGTGATGACAACAGAAAATGAGAGAGAATTATGCTGGTCTTTAAGATTGGGTCATTTGTGAAATGCTTCTTTTCAATCAGTTCAGAAAGGTGATGATCTTCTAACATAAAGCCACAAAAACGTTTTCCTCCTTTTATTTTTACTGCTATAAATCTAAATCTGACTGATATGTTTTTCACTTCGTTTTGGAATCTGTTACAAAAGATGGAAAATTGACTTTTAAAAAATGTATATCAAAATTGCCTCAGTATTTACTAACCAAATAACCTTTGACCCCTTGCGTATTTCTAAACAAAAACAATAAAATCCATATACAAATCCATATAAATGCATATTTTAAAGGATGTTTTTTTTAGATTACTGTTATATATTGTATAAAATAAATCTGCCCATTACAGTTTATAAAACTATAATATACAAATATACTTATGTAATAAAATTAAGCTGTATTCAAAAAGAAAATCAAAGTCATTTTGAGAGACATAT